CTCTGGCTGCAGAGGCTCACATGGATTATCCAAGTGTTTTAAGAGGGGCAAGTCCCAATCGTCTGACCCTGCTGCAAAAAGGGAGGACGCCAATAAAACTGTGCGCGATGGAGCCTAATCTAAGTAGGTATCCTAGGAGGGATCCTGTCCCTCCTGTCCCGGCCTCCGTCCCCAGAAATTTGAAATCGGCATTTATTTATACTTGGGTGGTCACGGCCAAATTGGACAAGGGGGTCGAGCTGGGCAGAATGATAGGGCCGTTTGCGGCCCTGCCTTTTCCCAAGCTAATTGTGTCCCCCTTCGGCTTATTCACCACTTGTTGTACCCGAAGGGGGCGTCGGTTAACAGTGCCATTAGTCCAGATTTATGCTCGGTGTCCTATACATCGTTTGACACGGCGGGGGTGCAGCATTATGGCAAGGGGGCACTGATGCCGAAAGCGGATATCGAATCCACGTTTCGGTTGCTCCCTGTGCACCCCGATAGCCAGCCTTTGCTTGGCTGTCGGTGGGACGGGCAGTATTTTATCAATTGTTGCTTGCCTATGGGGTGTTCCATTTCTTGTTCCTTTTTTGAAAATTTTAGTACCTTTGTCGAATGGGTAGTGCGTGATGTGGCTCAGGTTTCGTCCATCATCCACTACTTGGACGATTTTTTGTGCGTTGGCCCGTCGGGTTCCCCCCTCTGTTCGGTGTTTTTTAGGACGTTAGAACGTGTGGCCCAGGAGTTGGGTATTCCGCTGGCGCACGACAAAACTGAGGGTCCTGTGACTGAGTTGCAGTTTTTGGGTATCATCATTGATACGCAGGCCATGGAATGCCGCTTGTCCCAGGACAAGCTTGAGGATCTCAAACGGGAGGTGGGTGCGGCTCGGAGGGCGCGGAAGGGCCGTCTAAGCCTGCTTCAATCTCTTTTGGGTAAATTGAACTTCGCCTGCCGCATCATGCTGATGGGGAGGATTTTCAATAGGCGTTTCTGTGCGGCTATGGCGGGGATCACCTCCCCTCATCATTTTGTTCGTTTGACTGGCGAACACAGGGCGGATTTGACTGTTTGGGAAGCGTTCCTGGAGACTTATAACGGTAGATCGTTGTGGATGGCGTCTGTGGTGTTGGCTTTTGACCTTGAATTGTACACGGACGCAGCGGGCAGCACTGGTTTTGGGGCCTATTGCCAGGGGGCTTGGTGTGCCGAGGAGTGGTCGGAGGATTGGCGTGAGGCGGGTTTTTTGGGCAATTTGGCGCTTTTGGAATTGTTTCCCATCATTGTGGCCATGGAGGTTTGGCAGGAACGTTTTCATGATCGGCGTATCCGATTCCATTGTGATAACATGGGTGTTGTGGAGGCGGTGAACCGGTTGTCGGCTTCTTCGCCCCCGGTGTGTTTGCTGCGGCATTTGGTTCTCACTTGCTTGCGGCTCAATTCTCGTTTTCAGTGGCACAGGTTCTGGTCGCTGGCACCGGGAGCGGAGCGGCAGGGGGTTCCTTGTCCTGGGCATCTTTGGAGGGTGGCGTTGGCGTCTCCGCCGCGCTGATTCAGCAGTCGGTAAGTACGGGCACTTGGGCGGCGTACTCGTCAGCTTGGCGGGAATGGTGGGGTTTGGTGAGTGGGACGGCTTCCCCATTGTCTGACGAGAATCGGTTGTCATTCCTGTTGTACTATATTGGGCGGGGTTTTGCACAGGGTGTGTCGGTTTCCAAGATGAATGGGCGTTTTGGCTGCTTTCGCCTTTTTGTTTAAGTCTATGGGTGTGCAGGACGTGACCAAGCAATTTTTGGTGCGGCAGGCAATGCGGGGTTTTCAGAAGGGTCGCGTGGCCCCGGACCCCAGGCGTCCAGTGTCTTTTGAGTTACTGGGGGAGCTTGTGGGTGTGTTGGAAGGGGTGTGCGTTTCACGGTACGAGGCGGTTCTGTTAAGGGCAGTGTTTGCGCTGGCCCTTTTTGGGGCTTTGCGGGTGGGGGAGCTTGTCAGTAACAATAGGCAGGGTTTGGGGGGTTTGCAGTGGGGTGATGTGTGTTTTAATGGTGATCTGGTGGAGGTGCGGATCCGTCGTTCCAAGACCGATCAGTTGGGTCGGGGGGCGGTGGTTGTTTTGGGCAGGGTGGAACCGGAGGCGGTTCGCCCTGTGTCTTGTGTCAGGGTTTTTATGGAGCTGAAGGGACAGGCGGCTGGCCCCTTTTTGCGGCACGCAGATGCTGTCGCGCTATCAGTTTTTGGCGGTGTACCAGCATTGTTTGGGGGGGTGGGCCGAGATTTTACGTCTTTTGGGGGGGGGTTAGGGCTGACGCTAGGCCAGAGGGCAGGCAGCTGGGTGTTTCCCGGGATGTTGCCACACTGTGGTGGTTGGGAGTTAGGGGCATGACATGGAGCCGGGTCTTGACAGAATTTCACTATTTTTTCCGGATTGATCGGTACCCGCACGTTTTGGTGTTGAACGTCGGGGCAACGATCTGGGGGTCCGTGCTTCCAGGGTTTTGATCCGGGATATTACATTTGATTTGCTGCGCTTTAGGCGGGAGTTCCCTGGGGTGGTGGTGGTTTTGTCGGATATCGTGGCCAGGAGGGCTTGGCGGTATGCCCGATCGGGGGAGCGCCTGAATAAGGCCCGGATCAAGCTCAATCGGGTGGTGGGCAAATTTGTCGCTCGGCTGGGGGGGCCTAGTGGCGCGGCCCTCGAACTTGGGAACCCAGAAGGGGTAAGTGTCCTCGAGCTGGTTGTGGTGCGGCTGGGGACCTGGGTGGAGTGGTAGGAGAAGCCTTTTTGGGCTGTTGGGCACCAAAAGACCCCTTCCCAGGTCAACCATCGTTTACAGCAGGGCTCAAAATGTCAAGTCCTGAGCTACTAGCCAGGCCTTAAGAGTCACTAGCCACCAGTTGCCCCACCTAATCCTTACCCTGCCCCGGCCTTAATTCTGCCCCTAAACACACCCTCTTAAATAATCTTATGATAATTCTTATCTTATGATAGTTGCCGCTTGTAAACATCAGATTAGGGATTCCTGCTGCAGGAAAACGCAAGTTCCTGACACAGGAATCTCTAATCACACCTGAAACTTTCGTCTTCCAAGCACACTGGAAAACCTGCCGAAAATTGTACGATTTTTGGCGGGTTGGTGGCGTGGTCGGAAGATTTCTTTCGGCCGGAGTTCAGAACTGTCAGAGCTCCGGCCGAAGGAAGCCAGAGCTGACAGGAGCTGCTCTGCGGTCTGCTTCCGACACAGATGCAGACCGTGGAGCTTCTCCCGCAAGTCAGGTACGCGGTCTGCGACCGTGTGCCTGACATGTCAGCTGTCTGCGGGTCACATAGTACCGTCTCGCGGGCCGGAGTTGGGCCACGAGCCAGGAATTTTGAGACCCAAATTTCCACTCGCCCTCACCTTATTTTTACTCGCAAAATGCAAGCAGTCGAGTGGAAATTTTGAGTCCTGGTTTACAGTATTATTTGTGTATATTATTTGGTTTATTACTTTGGTTATTGTTAAAGTTGTTTGGTTTAATAAAAGGGCTGCTGTGGCCGTTAAAATCCATGTTGCGCAGTCCGAGTGTTTATTGGGGTTTTGAACGAAGGGACGAAAATTGACGAATCCATCAGTCAAGACAGACCCGGAGAGACTGAGCGGGAGGGACTACATGACTGGGGGGGAGGAATAGTCCCGGGAGAAAGAGTTAAAAATAAAATGGGAATAGCTGCTCTTACCTGATTGGACGTGGGAGTCAGGTGTCCGGGAGGAGCCGCATGGGAAGGAACTGCGAGGGCTGAGGGACACCCTCTTTCTGGAAATCGACGAAGGAAGCAGGTTGTCCCACCCTCCCTCCCTGAATCTTGGGGTTATGGTGGTTGGGGGGGTTCTTTTGTCACGGCAGCAGCTTTTACAAAAAGCTTAATTATTTCATTAATGAATGCCTCTATACTGAGGCATTCATTCATGACTGGTAACCGCTGAGAATCATCTGTTACCAGCATTACAAAGCCTGATATACTGTAACTCGTCACGTACAGTGTACGTGGCCAGTCATATAGGCACAAAGAGCCGGGACGTACACTGTACGTCTACCATCACGAAGGGGTTAATAAAAGGGCTGCTGTGGCCGTTAAAATCCATGTTGCGCAGTCCGAGTGTTTATTGGGGTTTTGAACGAAAGACGAAAATTGACGAATCCATCAGTCATGAAGTTGTGTGATTCTCACTTCTGCCTTTGTGTTTGTAGTACTAAGCCGTCTCTCACTATTCAGCTCCTCAAATCCCTTTAATTCTTCCAGTGACATTTCAGTGTTGTACCACTTTAGGAGATCAGTATGGCACAGTTGCATAAACAGGCACTGTAGTAATCCTGTCCTGAAACTGATGCATGCTATGCTGAGACTTGCTTGCTGGCATATACAGGTTTGTGTGGCAATGGCTGCACTATCTGCAAGCTGTTGTATTTCCAGAGTCCATTTATCATCCCACTATATATTCAGAATTAGCAAGGATCCTTTGAAAGATCTTTTGACTGTTCTGCCTCCCCAATCTAAGCATTGAAAGTGTGATCTCTGTAACCTACAGTTGTGGCAAGATGACAGTAACTCCCAATCTCAGAAGTGTTGGCAGACCGCTGACTGACTCCATATGACACCTTGAAGATCGTTGAGAAGTTTAATCGACACTGTGAAAATCTTTATAACAGCGAACATATTATAGGTCAAAAGATCAGAATGTGAACCACTTAGCAAAATACATGTGGCTGAGATGCAAACTAGAACATAATGAAGAAGGGTGGAGCTATCTACACAGAGGAAAACTGAACTAAGGGGGTGGGAGGAGACAAATACCAGACGGATAAAGCAAATAATATTTAAAGGCATTGTAATTATAATGTTTATTGTAAAGAAAAAAGGGTGGTGGGATTTTACATGTTTGCATGATACAAATCTACACTCAGGTTCTTACATTCAGAACATGTTTGATAAGATAAGTTGATGGACAGTGGACAATAATAACATCTACTTTTTTTTACAGCATGTGGTGTAGCCTGTCACAAGCATTGCAAGGATCGACTCTCTGTGGAATGCAAGAAAAGATCTAAAAGTGTCAGCGAAAGACGAGAAAGTTCCCAGCCACCACATCATTTTTCTTTGACACTGCCAAGATCCTTTAAGAGATCAGCATTACCACCAGGTATTTCAAAATACAAACTTAACTTTCTTAAAGCTTTTAAGAGCCTGCACTAGAAAGCAAGATCCACTAATTTCCTCAAGTCCCTCTTCTAAATCACAGTATAATGTATATATAAAAACATCCCTGTAGGGGGTTAAATATATACTTACCTTTCCCTGGCTTCCACACTGCAGAAGGTGAGGTCAATATGCCGAATGCCTCAAATCTCACGGGATGTCACTATAACACAGTGCAGGAGCATTTTGTCATGAGATTTAAGATCCTTATCATTCCCAAAATCGTGTTGCAAGGATTTTGGAGTCACCCATGCCTTGGCCCCACTGGTGGAAGCTTGGGATAAAGGTAAGTATATCTTCATTTTACTCCACATGTGCATTTTTGTACTTGCAGAAGATGATGCCTTATAAAGAAAGAGTGGGACCTAATGTAAACTAATGAATGGACTTTGCTTTCTAGTGCAAGGTCTGTTTTAACCACTTGAGTCCTGGTGCAGTTTTAAATGAGATATTTGTTGTTGGTCCTAGAGTCACTTTAAATGGTGCCCGGACACAACAGCTACTGTGGGCCCTCCCCTGGCACTGTCAGGGACAGCCAGGGTCCAGCACTAAGCCCAGGAGCTGAAACGATTAACTTCTGGGCTTCAGATGCTTCTACAGATCACACCAGATTTGCACTGTGTTTGCATTGGGAGCAAATTGATGTCACTACACTCCGGTCTGTATGGAGGCTCAGGTAGAACTGTTGCAGCTCTCTTCAGCCTCTGCCTACAGCAGTAGATTACTGCTATAGTGATCTATTGCTGGCTGATTGCAAGTAAAGTGAAGTGATCCACTGCTGCACAGCTGTATGGGGGTTCTGGATCTGGTCAACGATGCTTACATGCGCAAAGGTTGTATTGGAAATAATTACAATAAATGCAGTTTTTCTAATTTTTTCAATAAAAACCCAAAGGAAAAAAATTGTATGTGTTCACATTTGCTACCTTGCTACCAAATTAAAACCCTATCTGTCCCCCGAAAAAGATGGATAATATCTTAGGGTAGATTACAGAACCAGAGCTGAAACATTGCTAAATACTCTGGGACCCAAGGGGATTTTGGAAGAAAAAGGTCTAGAGCTCAAGGAAATTTAGGCAGAAAAAGGCTTAAAGGGGTTCTAAACCCTCCCGTTATTTTTGCCTATATCTACCGCTATCAAGCAGTAGATATAGGTAAACAGTTTAAAAAAACAAAACACTTTAACAGCGGTTTAAACTTACCTTGTTTTCGCTGCACGCTCCCGCCCGAGAAAACTAAACTGTTCGGGCGGCCGCAAAGCATCTTGGAGTGGGCGCATGCGCAGTTCGGATTCTCTGCCGGGAGACGAGCAGAAACGCAGGGTAAGTTTAAGGACGTGTGCACCCGCATGCAGACACTGTGGGATCAGAAGTGCCAGCAAGGAGCAAGGAGTCAGCGCTGGATCGGAGAGTCGTCGCACCGCTGGAGGGACAGATAAAAACATCAGGAAAGAAGAAGATCGGATTAAGAGACATCATTTAGGGTAAGTGCTGACATTAACAGAGGGGAAAAAAATGTTTCCTTTAATGTCACTTTAAAGCTCAAAGAGATTTAGGAAGAAAAATGTCTGGGGACTCAGGTGGTTAAGAAAATCTTGCATGTTTGTGCATGTGGCTAACCTAGAGTAAAATGATCTAGTGAAAGTACCCGTCATTTGTGAATTATATTATTTTATAAGAAACCTTTTCTTGCAAGAAAAAAAAAACTACCATTGCTGATGACTTATTCTGCAATTCCTAGTTTCCAGAGATGCTGACTCCCTATCCTAAGTAATTTGAGACAGCAACTCAAGCTTAGTATTCAGACAGAAACTTCTGATTTCACTCTAACCTTCCTGATAAACATAATTGTTCCAAATCTGTGATTCAGAAAGTAATGAAGCCAGTAATTGCCAAACTAGCATTTTCAAAAGGAGATAAACAGTGGTAGCACCAATGTTTCTCTCACGAAAGGTTTAATATGGATACAGCACCTCCTGCTTAGCCATGTACATGACACTACAGACCTCAGTTTCTAGGAAGATACTGCCACTGGAAGAAGCAGCACCCCATTATGAAGGGTATTGTCACAATCTGGGAACCGGGCCACTGGGGAACCTGAGCTCTGGGTTTTGCGCAGAAGTTCAAAACGGGTAACAGGCCTAAAATGCAGGTCATGGGGAGTGAAGGGACACAGGTTGCATTAAACGTAGGGGACAGAGAACAGAGTGTATGCACAATAAACACAATAAAGTGAAATAAACATGGGTGTGCCTGAGGTGCAGGATCTAAGGAGAGCCTGTCTTCTCCAGAGCCGCTGATGGTGAGGATGTTGTGCGGCAGGGTAGCTCCCAGGTTGTAGCCTTCCAACACAGCCACGCAGGCACAGCTGACCAATGTGCCAAGGTCCAAGGGGCGCTGGACTAGTGCCCAAGAGGTGCAGGAAGGTTGCAGCAGGTAAACAAGGAAAACAGGGCCAGTGGCACGTACACACGGGCAACACACAGGGAGTGTAAGTTGCAGGATGCACGCAGATGATGTGCATACACAGGGGTACAACATACAGTGACAGGAACACACAGGGAACACACGGAACGTGCGATGCTGGATGCACGCTGGCGTCATGCATACACAGGGATACAGGATTCAGTAGCAGGAACACATAGGGAACACACGGAGCATGCGTTGCAGGATGCAACCGAATTCGGTTCAGGCTCTGAACCATGTGCATGTAGGTACAGGTACGTTCACTTGCACGTTCATATTTAGATACGTTTGGTTCAGGTCACTCGACTGTATACGCATTCATACATGGGTGTTTTGACATTCTCGCACACGTGATTGATTCTGTTAAGTTTGGTTCAGTCCGCTGGGCTGTATGCTCATATTTACATTGGTGTTCTGATGATTTCTCACACTTTTGAGTGTTCCAGATAAGTTTGGTTCAGGCCGCTGGACTATTTATAAAACTCTGGGTTCGAAATCGGCCCAATTCATGCATACATAATTTCAGTACATATTTCATGACTACCAATGTTGAACCATTGGGACAAACCAGAGTTTTAAGGATTAGGGCCGGTATAGTTTAGAAATCCTCAGGCTCAGTCACCTCGCCATACGCAGCAATCGCGACATACTGATTAATAATAGAATAGGGGAAGCGTCACTTAGTTCAATGGGTAACATTGGATTCTTCTATAGCATTATATATAAAAAAAGAGGGGTTTTTTTTGCGATTATTACTCTTATTAACTTCATGTGATTGCAGCTTCAAGGTTGAAATGTTGCACGGATCTGACATTGAGGACTTTGCATCTCTCCTGCAACTCCTGCTAGAGGATCGGAGCATGGAAGCATTCCTTCAATAAGGTCCTGGACTATTCCCAAGCTCATTGCGGAGCTGCAATACAGGGGCATACCTTTCTTGGCTACTGCCAGGAAGGCTGAACTTTTCAAATTATTGTTTCTTCTTATTATTTACACTGGCCCAGTCACCGATTTGTGTAACTTCCCCCATGTGGTTCCTAGAACAATGATTGCAGCCTAATCCCAATGCTGCATGCTGTAGTGAGAGGACCCAGGCTTCTCAGACCCCCAGTCTGACCCACTTTTCCAGTTCCTTGCAGTAAGGCTTGTGTAATGTTCCTGGCACCGTTCCTGGCGCCCTCTTATGCTCAAACCAGTTAACATCATCATTCTGCACTATGGCAAAACCCCTGGCACTTCTTATCTCAGAGTGATGATGCAAACACCAGCTCATTATTTAACTATCTGCTTGTCCATTCAGTCTCCGCCCAAGTGCTCTGCTGTTCCTGATTTCTGTGTATGACCTATGCGCTGGCTGACTGATCTCCTGGTTCCTGACTCCTGGCTATTGTGTCCGTTCATCCTACTCTGTGTTACCTGAATTGGTTCGACTGACTACCAGCTGTGGCTTCTGACCTCTGGCATGGTGCTGACAACGTCCTTGACTTTCTCCATTGTTTTTGCATTTATGGTTATTGTTGTTTTTAATAAACATGTTTTATATTTAAAAACCTGCACTTTAAGTTTCTGTCTGGTTCCTTGGTTTCCTGGCACCCGCCAACGAACAAAATAAAAAGTAAGAGACCATAGACCAGTGTGCAGTGATGTGGGCAGAGTTAGAAGCCTATTACTGGCACACTTCTAATCCATCACAAACATGCCTACAATCTTGACCATTGTGTACACTACCATTACATGGTAGGAATTGTAGTCTAAAAGAGCGGTGACACACTAACAGGAAGTGATCTTGCTACTTCTGAGATCCCTCCTTATGGTGCCCAGGCTTAATACAGATTGTTTCTGTATTAAGAGTTCTAACAAAGGAGTTTTGGCAAGTCTGTAGAAAAAAAACATACTTCCTTTAGTAAGGGAAAAGAACTATTGGAAAAATGTGTGCTGTATTAAGTAGATTTTTATTGGTTTACATTTATTAAAATGATTTTAGACTTGAGTTCAGTTTATTTTTAGCACCAAGTGCCTAAGTACATCAGTTTTTTTTCTTATATGTCTCAACTCTGCCTTAAACATCTGCTCTGGCCATTGCCTGTTTACAGAAGATTCTTTACACTGTAAAGGCCTGTCATTTTGAAAACCTAAGCCCCTAAAGGTGACCAGAACGTTACCATCGCTCTCATTTTGCATCACCTGATCTTTTCTCTTCACTGATTATTAGCAAAATATTGTGAGGGGAATTTACCAAAACTGAAGCAGACAGAATCCGGAGCAGTTGCCTATGGCAAAAAGGAGAAAAAAGGAATGGCCCTTACGTATTTCTCTCAGTACAAGTTTCCTTTAACCTTAACGCTGCCAGATCAATTTTGTTTTCATTTTCACACACATATTAAAATGTCCATTTTTTGTTTGAAAATTTACAAGTATACAAAGATACCTAATGCATTCAGCGTATATGTATACTGTGGCATTGTGAGGCAATACCACGGTGTTAGGTGGACTCAAAGTCACCCAGGGTTCAGTTTCTATGTACATTAGCTTATTAACTATCACAAGGGGGCTATGTGACAGTACAGCCCCTATATGTTAGTAGAGGGCAGGTAGCAGGTACAGTTTATGGAGACATCAGGAGTCTATTACAACTGTAATGTCTCCCCTGCATTTGGCTTAAGCAGATGGGGGATAGAGAGTCTGCTGTTTACCTGGCCAATACCAGCTAGGGTCTCACAGATGTGAACCAAGACTTTCGCTGTATACATTGGCGATAGGGCAATTGTTTTTTAATGTCCTGGGCTCTCATAGAGCGCATATAAGCCTGAGAACCACAGCGGGTTGGGGGTCAGAAAGGGATACTGTCCCATTTGAAATATGTTGAACTAATCAAATGGCTTTGCAGCCACCCAAATTACGTCTACATTACACAGCTGTTCCACCACATTAAGCTTAAAGCAAGCTCAAACTTCATGAAGTGTGCAGTTTGTTACATTAGGCTGTTTTGCCTAACACCATTTCTAACATATTTTTTTTGGGGTTTAGAGGTAAAAGAAGAGGATCCGCAAGTGGAGGAAGATGGTGTGTTTGATGATCGTTTATAACTAGCATGGTGAGTAAATGAGGTTGATAAGTCATTACCAGTTTGTCCCAAAGTATCTGTGAAAGCAAAATAGATGCTATTAGAATAGAGCAGTATTACAGTTAAATTTAAAAAAAATAGACTATATATAAACTGTATATATATATATAGATATATCTATATATAGATCTATATATATATCTATATAGATAGATATCTGTCACGCCTGTTACGGACTTGGGGTATGTGGATCGCAGCTGCGGAGGCTTCTCAGGTGGGGAACCCTGGTTTCACTCTCAGCTTAACGGAGAGTTAGGGTTCTTAGCATCACAGCCTCAAATGGAATGTAGAGGGTTATTCCTTAAGTAAACCTATCAACAAGCTCCAGAGTACATTTAGTTAGTACTGAATTAGCTTGGTATAGAAGACACGACAGTGTTATTTGGCATTGGTACAGTTCCCCAGTAAGTAGATAGGCTTGGCAATTTGTATTTCAAAGATATACAGTCCTTATGGCATAGTGTGCAACTGCACTGAGATACTTGCGGTTAGGTGATTGCTGAGGGTCCTTTTGTGGTGTCCGGTTCTGGTGTGTCTGGCCGGAGGGCACAGTCTGGAGGCCATGGAGGGTCCCAGGAGACAGCAGGTGTTCTGGCTCAATATTGGAACGCCATGCTGTCTCGTCTGGGCGTTTAAATAGGCCTATGGTGAGGAGGAGGAGCCGTGGCACGCATTGGCTCACTTCTGCGTTCCACGGTGGAACGCACGCGCCCCCGAAACCGGAAGTGAGGAGCGTGCGCTCCACCATGGAACGCAATCGGCCCAGCGAAGGAGCGGCTGGCTGCGTCCTCCGTCCCTGCTAGCTGCTGACGGCGGCGGCCGTTACAATGCGTGCGGCCGGAGGGGCGTGTCTGGTACGGGGGCGGGAGGGAGCTGCCTCTCCGCTCTGATGTCATCCAGAGAGCAACAGCGTGCGGGTAGGTGGACGGGCGAGGGGGCGGGAGGGAGCTGCGGCCGGTCTTCACATGTGAAATTGAATTACATGTGCAGCTACCCCGAAGGTAAGACCTAGCGCTATCTTCAGGGATGTCTGTAATATAAGACCTACCACCAAACTAGGTCTTATTTTCGGGGTAGGTCTTATATTACAGAAATCCCAGAAGATAGCGCTAGGTCTTATTTTCGGGGTAGGTCTTACTTTTGAGGAAACACGGTATATATCTCTATATCTATATCTATATCTATATATCTATATAAATACATACACACTCACAGTATATACACTGATCAGCCATAACATTATAACCACTTGCCTAATATTGAGTAGGTTCCCCTTTTGCTGCCAAAAGAGCCCTGGCCCATTCAGGCAGGTGCACTAGACCTCTGAATGTTTGCTGTGGTGTCTGGCACCAAGCTATGTGCAACAGATCCTTCAAGTCCTGTAAGTTGCAAGGTGGGTCCTCCATCGATTGGACTTGCTTTTCCAGCACATCACACAGGTGCTTGATTTAATAGAAATCTGGAGAATTTAGAGTCCATGTCAATACCATGAACTTGTGTTTCTTAAATTATTCTTGAACCATTTTGTAGTGTGGCAGGGCACATTATCCTGCTGAAAGATGCCACAGCCTTCAGGGAATACAGTTTCCATGAAGGGTTTACTTGCTCAGCGGCAATGTTTAGGTAGGTGGTACGCAGGGCCACCATGGGGGCAGGGCCATGTGAGGTGCTTGGTCAGCCTGGGGGGCCCGTGGCCCTTACATGGGTATCATCCTTAACAGGGGTGGCATGGCAGAGGAGACAGGGGAGGAGGTGGAGGCAACCGGGCCTCAATAGCACCAGTCCAGCAGCTGGGGAGGCCAGGGGCCTCAGCAGTGCCAGTCAGGGGGCATAGGAGGCTGGGCCCCAGCATCGCCGGCCCGGTGGCGGAGGAGGCAGAGCCCAAGCAGCAGCAAGTAAGAGGACCTGGGAGGAGGTGCAGGGACAGGGACCCCAGTTATTAGCCCACGATAGACCCTGCAGAGCCCACAATATAGTCTCAGATGGGCTGTGTATGGTAGGCTCTGCAGGATCACTCTCAGTTGGGCTCTGTGGGGTCTCAGGTGGGTCCAGAGCGTTACTAAGTCCAGAGCCCGGTGCATTACTAAGTCCAGAGCATGGTGCATTACTAAGTCCGGAGCCCAGTGTGTTTATTAAGTCTAGTGCTTTGCTAAGTCCAGAGTTCAGTGCGTTGCTAAGACCAGAGTCCAGTGCTTAAAAAGGCCAGTGCTTAAAAAGGCCAGTGCTTAAAAAGGCCAGTGCTTAAAAAGGCCAGTGCTTAAAAAGGCCAGTGCTTAAAAAGGCCAGTGCTTAAAAAGGCCAGTGCGTTAAAAATTCCAGTGCGTTAAAAATTCCAGTGCGTTAAAAATTCCAGTGCGTTAAAAAGTCTAGTGCGTCACTATGTCCAGAGCCCAGTTGGTCACTATGTCCAGAGCCCAGTGGGTCACTATGTCCAGAGCCCAGTGGGTCAACTATGTCCAGAGCCCAGTGGGTCAACTATGTCCAGAGTCCAATGGGTCACTATGTCCAGAGTCCAATGGGTCACTATGTCCAGAGTCCAGTGGGTCACTATGTCCAGAGTCCAGTGGGTCACTATGTCCAGAGTCCAGTGGGTCACTATGTCCAGAGTCCAGTGGGTCACTATGTCCAGAGCCCAGTGGGTCACTATGTCCAGAGCCCAGTGGGTCACTATGTCCAGAGCCCAGTGGGTCACTATGTCCAGAGCCCAGTGGGTCACTATGTCCAGAGCCCAGTGGGTCACTATGTCCAGAGTCCAATTCATATACTGTTCTGCATTGCTGTATAATGTATTGCAGGGACTTGTAGTCCCCCTACAACCAGCACCATTCTGCATTAAAGTCTAGTGCGTTAAAAGTCTAGTGCGTTAAAAAGTGCAGTGGGTCACTATGTCCAGAGCCCAGTGGGTCACTATGTCCAGAGCCCAGTGGGTCACAATGTCCAGAGCTAGGGGAAATGTGCTAGGGGATAGATGAGGAACAGTTAGTGTTAGTGAATAAGTGCAGCAGTTAGTGTTAGTGAAAAGGGAGTGCGGTTAGTGTTAGTGAAAGGGAGTGTAGTTAGTATTGGATTTTTTGGCCAAAATATATTTCCTTACTCTTAAATAGTGCGGTTAGTGTTAGTGAAAGGGAGTGTAGTTAGTATTGGATTTTTTGGCCAAAATATATTTCCTTACTCTTAAATAGTGCGGTTAGTGTTAGTGAAAGGGAGTGTAGTTAGTATTGGATTTTTTGGCCAAAATATATTTCCTTACTCTTAAATATTGAATGAACTGATAACTTTGCATACACTTCTCAATTTTGTATATTAAGGTGTAAGAGTGTTAAAATAGAAGTGGGTGCACTGAAGGACCTGGTGGGACAGCCAGTGGACTAGCCCATGGTGTGTTTGGGGGGGGGGGGGGCAGGTGGCCCAGACCTACAGCTGTGTAAGGGGCCCAAAGTTTCTGATGGCAGCCCTGGAAGTACGTGTCAAATTAATATCCACATGAATGGCTGGACCCAATCTTACCCAGCAGAACATTTCCCTAAATCATCACACTGCCTCTGCTGGCTTGCCTTCTTCCCATAGTGCACCCTTGTGCCATCTCTTCCCTAGCTAAGTGACACACACACCCAGCCATCCAATTGATAACATGGTTCATCATACCAGGCCACCTTCTCCTATTGCTCCATGGTCCTAGTCCTAGTTCGATCTGCCGCTATGCAGCTTCATACGCAACAAACTGATGCACTGTTTGTTCAGACACCTGTCTATTAGAACCAACATTACTGTTTTCAGCAATATGAGCTACAGGTGCTCTTCTATTGGATCAGACTACACGAGTCAGCCTTCGCTCCCCACATGCATCAATGAGACTTGGCCACCCATGACCTTGTCACTGGTTCACCAGTTTTCCTTCTTTGGACCACTTTTGGTAGGTGCTGACCACTGCAGACCAGGAACATCCCACAAGAATTGCAGTTGATCTTACCCAGTCATCTAGTTATCACAATTTGGTCCTTGTCAAAGTCGATCAAATCTGTATGCTTGCTCATTTTTTCTGTTTTCCAACACATCACCTTCAAGGACAAAATGTTTACTTGCTGCCTAATATATCCCACCTACTTTCAGGTGCCATTGTAACGAGATAATCATTGTTATTGACTGTCGGTGGTCATGATGTTATAGCTGATTGATGTGTGTATGTATATGTGTGTGTATGTATATATATATGTATATGTATATGTATATGTATATGTATATGTGTATATATATATGTATGTATATATATATATATATATCCTAAAATACTATGCCCATGAATACTGTATATAAACTGTATATTGTAGTTTTTAATAAAATAAAAAAAAACTCATTAAAAGTGTACTCACATATGGCTGTGCTGCATCTAGCACAGAGCACAAATAGGCTCAAGGTTGACCATACTCTGTTTCCAATCTCCTCGTATGTAGTACCAGAAATTACATCAGCAGGCCACACCCCAACATGTTTCATCATCAATTGACTTCCTCAGGAACAAGCCTGCAGCATAATCTTTGGCTACTTTTTTTTTCCCCGTAGGGCCTGTTCCATAATTCTTCTCTTCCCAAAACATTGTAACCCTCTAGTGGTAAACCATATCCTAGCAACCACTAACAGCCCTCAATCTTCCCCCAATGGAGAAAGTCCATACTGCAATATAATCTCTAAAGAAACAATGATAAATCAACATAAAAATTGGCATAGTCCCTAACAATACAATGCACCAATTCCACATAAAAATAGCATAATAGAAATCTATAGACACCATGAATAAATAAATGAAACCTTTAACCCTTTTTTGCCACCAATGTATGTCATATGTCAGCAGCGGGCCCCTGTAAACAGACTCCCAGCAGCTATAGCCACCAGGAGTCTTATTTACCTGTGTAAAGCCAACTGTTGACTTTACACTGGAAGCGATTCTGCAAGCTATAAAGCTGCCTGATCACTTCCAGGGGCTAGT